CAGACATGGGCGGCAGCAGCAGCAGCAGCGTCATGGTGGAAGGGGCGTGTCCGTTCCACTTTCCCTGGTGCGACCCCAAACCTTTTGCCCTCCGGCCTCTCACTGGAGAGCGCACCTCTCACCCTCTTTCCTCGCCTCTCTTGTCTTACTCTCTGTCTTGCCTCTTCCTTCCTTCCCGTCTTCCTTTCGCCCTTCCGTCCGTCCTTCCTTCCTTCCTTCCTTCCTTTGCTGTGGTTATCTTCGTTGAGTATCAAACTTTATAAATCCTTTCTTCCGCAGGCGTTTAAATGCACATCCTGCTCTCCTTAATGTGACAGTTACGAATCTCTGTGTTTTGTGTGTGTGAGTGTGTGTGTGTTGTGTGTGTGTGTGTTGTGTGTGTGTGTGTGTGTGTGTGTGTGTGTGTGTGTGAGTGTGTGTGTGTGTGTGTGTGTGTGTGTGTGTGTGTGTGTGTGTGTGTGTGTGTGTGTTCGCTCCGGAACTGTTGTTCACACACGCAACTCTGCTTGTTTGGATGTTGCCCTGGCAGTCTGCAGCAGCAGCAGACTGGCCTGTCAGACGGCAATTTCCTCGTCGCTTCACTCTTTCAACCTCGACTAATTTAAAGAGTTACTGTATACTTTAAAGCCTCGGGCTAGTTTTATATTATTTAGCTAAATATTCACTTTATCGCACTGTTCAACTTTCTTGCTGTTCTAGTTATCCTGTAGGTCATTATTCGCAGAAAAAAGAACTCATTCCTGAAGTGATATCGTTATTTAATACATTTTTTCCACTCACATTTTCCGAAGTTCGCACCAGTCTAAGAGACGTTTTTCTCAGTTTACGGGGATGAAACAATAGGTTTTCCTTGCTGGTGCGAGGAGGCAGAGCTGGGGACAAGAGCTGAGTACCGCTGTCGATAGGTCGCTAGTACTGCTACCCTCACCACACACACACACACACACACACAAACATACACACATGCACACACCAGAGTATTGATGGTGTCACCACAGAGACTTCACTACACCTCAGTGTTCTAGGTGTTCACAGAGTTCCACCTACTGTGACCACACAACACAACATTGTGCGTTCACATGCGCCGTCCCCTTTATATAAGGCGCTTCAGGTTGCCACCTTCCGTTTTCTGTGCGGTTATGTCTATGGTTGTCTCCTGACGAGATCGATACATTTCTGCACCTTCGCCATATAACGGGAGGCTCATCTTCTTCATATCCTACTGTGACTTCTTGCCTTCCCAGCGAGGATTCAAGAAAAACATATATATTTTTTCCCGTCCGTGGAAGGAAAGCAATGGTGAGTGAACGAGACCCTGGTGGAGCCCAGGGTATGTCAGACCCTCATGTACTCTTGGCACCCAGACACAGGATATATACACCATGAGGAGTATATATATATATCCTGTGCTTGAGTACTCTTGACTGGTAGTGAACAGGTGACGTGTAGCCCTAATGACCGTCGTGTAGTCGATAGGCTTTAAACCCCAGGAAATACAGTTGATTTTCTTGCTGTTCCTGATGGAGCCTTATGACCCGGTCAGGTCAAACTTGACCAGTTTTTCAGTTTTTACGTGTGACTTACCTGTGAACTGTTTCGAGATTTTTTCCTATTTTGATGGCCCGACCTGAGGCCAAGCGTTCCTGTTGATTGCTTGGCAAGCAGGCTGTTGTTGTTGGCGGCCCACCTGCCTACATATTTATATTCCAGCAACATTTCTGATGTCTGCTGGTAGCAGGTTGAATATTTATGGCTCAGGGATGTTGATTCAACGTTCTCGTATTATGCTAGTGGCTTCCTGCTTTTCACTGGGTCCTTCAGTATTTTCTATGTGTATATTATCACGCATCTCTTTCCCACCTCCTCTCCACTGAAACTCTGCTGTCTCTCCCGCCTTGAGCGGAGATGTCAACACTAAACAGTTCTCTAGGCGAGAGAGTGTCTGTGGTTTGATCAGTAACACCACTCTTATTAATTCTTTTATTTGTAAAGTTCTCATTATCCACCTGTCATTTTTCTGGCTTTCGCAGCATTTGCATGATTGTGATCTTTAAAAGATAGGTCAGCTGACATTATTATGCCCATGTCTTTTATATGTTCTCTTCTTTCTGTTGGATGGCCCTCCTGTATTTGTTATCCTTTTCCTCTTTTTTCTCATTTTTTCCATAGCTGAGCCACTGGAATTTGTTCCCACTGAATATCGTATTATTTTCGTGTTATTCCACGGAAAGGCTTTGTTCATTTCCTCTTGTAATATAAATAAGTACAGTAGGTGACAAGTTACGTTGCAGTAGGATAGTCAAATAGTTAAGACAAGTTACGTTGTAGCAGGGCGCGAAGCATAAAACATGCAAAGGAGCCGGATGTATATTCCTGCAGCATTTGAAGAGTGTTAAGTGGCAGCGTGCAGGATGTCAGGAATGAGTGTGTGGAATATTGTGTCGGCGAGGGTATACAAGTGTCAGGATGCACGGTGTCTGACATGAGAGTGTGTGTGTGTGTGTGTGTGCGTGCGGAATGTTTGTCTTCAGTGCTGTTCTGGAGACTGTAAAGTAGAATGAATAAGAACAAAGAAGAATATTATACGATGTAATTTAAAAGAAAATGTTGTTCTTAGTCTTGGGGTTAACAGAACCGCCGACAACTTACGCCGTACTAAGATCTGACCTCTCCGTCTTGTAGGGTTTATAGGGTCACTGACAGCTTACGCCATACAAAGGTCTGACCTCTCCGTCTTGTAGGGTTTATAGGGTCACTGACACCTTACGCCGTACAGAGGTCTAACCTCTCCGTCTTGTAGGGTTTATAGGGTCGCTGACAGCTGACGCCGTATCAAGTCCTCTGTAAGGACTGACTTCTTCGTGTTGGCGTTTATAGGACAACTAACGGCCTATCCCGTATTTAGTCCTTTTTGTTAAAATGTGTGAAGGGGATATTCAAGCCTCTCCGAGTAAGAGTACCGGGATATAACTGTTATTAGACTATCGACATGTTTTGCCAGATCTACAGAGGTTTCAATTTCACCAAAAGTCTGAGAGGTAAAAGTATTTTTATATACACACTGGAGACCTGAAACTCCTCACACGTGGGAGCCCAAAGCGAACTACTTTTGCTCGTATGACCCCGTAGGGGTCATACGGCGCCTGGGAGAATAGGAAGCAGCTTCAATCTCGAGAAGAAAATTCCAGATCTAGTTCCACGGATCAAGAACCTGTCCTGGAGGAGCCACCCTTGAAGGAGGCGCTGATGGTAATCCCCTCCCCCGACTCTCTGTATCCATAATGAACTTATCATCTTTATATATAATGTCTACGGTATTGACGGCAGAAAATACATGCTTGTTGATGATTGATTCAGCTTTCAGCAGGAGCCTCTGTAGAGGGCCAACTGCTCTCACTGACTACAGTTATATCATCACCTTATTCCTCACCTCCCTCCTTTCCGTAACGTATACATACTGAGAGAATATATGCGTGGAAGAGGACATTTGTACACGGTTTAGGACATTATGGGAAACGTTTCTCCGCGAGTGGCGAAACGTTTCCTTGACTAAATGTGGTGAACTGTAAAGAAGTAGGTACAGCCGTTACCACAAGTTGCCTACAACCCCGTGCCACCCACAACCCCTCTCAGTATTGATAGTAGAGGTGCAACCACGTACACACATACTAGTACACTGGCGGTACCTGCAGGTTGCCATACTGCTGTTCCATCTCTCCCATATTCATGTGCTGAACCCTGGCGATATACAGGGAGAGAGTTACCATATGGAGTATCAGTGTCAGGGGGAATATTTCATCTGTTTATTCCAGAATGTTACCAGTATTAATATTAATACCTGACGAGCTTCAGCATGGATAGTTACAGAATTTTAAAATAGCAAAGCTCTTCTTGTCGAATAACGCAAACGAAAATTTGTGTATGCAATAATTTCGCGAAAAAACATTCCGAACCTAACAAAAAAATGTATTTCATTGTGTTTGTTTATTATTAAATTATTGTAAACTTAACTAAAATGTATTTACTTAGATTAGATTAAATTAAATTGCGCTTGTTTTAATAAGGTTAGGTATGTTTTCTAAGATTCTTTTGGTACAAAATTATTAATTTTTACATTAACATAAATGAAAAAAAAATCTTTGAAGTTTTAGAGAAAATTATAGAAAACTTAATTTTAAATGAGTTCTTGTTAATTAACCAGCTTTACCTATTCGGAAAAGATAGCTATCAGAGGACTTAGAAGTTCACACCGAGGCTGTCTACCGAGAAGAATCACGTACTTCTATGTAGATTAAGGACTATCGTGTATTATATATTTGTATGAGTCAAAGACAGAAAAGCAGAATGCAAATGAGACAACTGGGAAACGTTTCAGTCTTGGGAGCTTTGTCAATACATATTCATAGGGAAGAAAACAGTTAGGTATCTGTGATGCATCAGTCAAGTCACCTGACCGAGATGTCTTGCCCAGGTATCACCAGGCTGGCCACGCTCTAGAAATATTGACTCCCCGTGGTTTCTAGACTACATTGTTAGAAACCGCGATCAGGACAACTTCAAGAAGACTGAAATAATGCAGTAGACAGCTATAAGAAGACTGGAATAATGCAGTAGAGACCTATAAGAAGACTGGAATAATGCAGTAGACAGCTATAAGTAGACAGCTTCAGGGTGAACTGAGGTAATGGAGTAGACAGCTTCGGGGACACTAAGATAAAGCGACAGAGAGAAAGTAGACGCGGGATCGGAAAGTAGGAGAATGAAGACAGTAGCAGAGACAGTGCGGAGACACAGAGACAGAGAACACGGGACAATTCGCAGCATCATCTGCGAACCATTTAGGTGCAAAAAAAAAAAAAATTCGTGGGGCAGTGTTAAGATGCAAGTGTGTGTGTGTGTGTGTGTGTGTGTGTGTGTGTGTGTGTGTGTGTGTGTGTGTGTGTGTGTGTGTGTGTTTGTGTGTTTTTGTGTGTTTGTGTGTGTGGTGTGTGTGTGTGTGTGTGTGTGTGTGTGTGTGTGTGTGTGTGTGTGTGTGTGTGTGTGTGTGTGGTGTGTGTGTGTGTGTATGTGTGTGTGGTGTGAGTGTGGTGTGTGTGTGTGTGTGTGTGTGTGTGTGTGTGTGTGTGTGTGTGTGTGTGTGCGTGCGTGCGTGTGTGTGTGTGGTGTGTGTGTGTGTGTGTGTGTGTGTGTGTGTGTGTGTGTGTGTGTGTGTGTGTGTGTGTGTACTCACCTAGTTGTACTCACCTAGTTGAGGTTGCGGGGGTCGAGTCCGAGCTCCTGGCCCCGCCTCTTCACTGATCGCTACTAGGTCACTCTCCCTGAGCCGTGAGCTTTATCATACCTCTGCTTAAA